CTATCTTTCTTTCGGGAGTATCATCAAGGGGTTCACTCGGCACCAGTTCATCCAGTGTTTACTTTCCAAGCTCGTTTTTATAACAAGAGGTCTTTTATTATTCTCTCCGTGTTGGTTGATACAGGTTCGAGTTTATCTTCTATTGCTCGACCTGTTGCCACACGTTGTCGTCTACACTTGCGTCGTGCGGCAGAACCAGTTTTCATTCTTTATGGCAACTGTCGTACACATGCATGTGCATGGGATGAGGTGGATTTGGTTGTGCGTGTGGGCGATCTCGAGCTTGAGTTGTAGCCGTTGCGGGTGGTGCCGAGTCAAGCTTTTGACCTCATTCTTGGTATGGATTAGTTGCAGCGCAATCATGCCAAGTGTGACTTTAAGGTTTCTCCTCCTTGTCTCATACTTCCTTATGTTTCATCCATTCCTCTCACTTCCATACCCCTTCATCCCTCTACTTTTACCTCTGCTTCCACTACTTTTGTTCCCCCACTTTTTCCTTCTGTGTTTCTATCTTGTTCTGCTTTTCCCTTTTCCAATCCCTCCGACGCTCTTTGTGTTGCAGCAGTTGACTGGCTCATGAAGGAGTATTCTGATCTCTTTGAATTTGACCTATCGTCTGGGGCCAAGATTGCCACACGTCATCTGATTCCAACCGGGGATGCTCGTCCAATCAAGGTTCCTGTTTGTCGTCGGTCACCTAAGGAGATCAAGATTTTACGAGCAAACGTCAAGGAAATGCTGGAGAAGGGTGTTATTTGGAAGTCGCGGAGTCCTTGGGCATGTGAACCTCATCTTGTGACGAAGCCTGATGGGAGTATTCGTTTTTGCATCGACTATCGTCCATTAAATGAAGTGACGATCCTAGATGTGTATCCTCTTCCTCACACTGCTGATCTCTTGGATCGTCTGGGGCGAAGTCGTTGGTTCACCAAGCTAGATCTTGTTTTTGGGTATTGGCAAGTACCGATGGCCCAAAAAGATATTCCTAAGACTGCTTTTCGTACACCATTTGGTTTGTACGAGTTTTTGGTGATGCCGTTTGGTTTGAACAATGATCCAGCAACTTTCTAGCGAATGATGGACGAGGTTCTTTGCGATATGCCGGAGGTGACTGTTGACTTCATTGATGATGTCTTGATCCACTCGGAGGGGACGTGGGAGGAGCACGTTCGTGATGTTTGTAAAGTGTTGGATCAGTTACGTGATGTTGGTTTAAAGCTGAAGCGGTCAAAGTGCGTGTTTGGGTCCAAGGACACAACTTATCTTGGGTACCGTATTTCTCGTGAGGGTTTTCAAGTTGATCTTGACAAACTTGTGGCTGTTCTAAAGTTCTCTACTCCGAAGTGTGTGAATGATGTGCAGTGCTTTTTGGGTAAGGTGCAGTATCTCGGTCATTTTGTGGATCATCTTTCCGATCGCACTACACCATTGCGAGCGTTGCTGAAGTCATCAACGTCATCTTTCATCTGGTCTCCGGATTGCGAGCGGGCGTTCGTAGATCTTAAAGAGTTATTGATGACTCCTTCGGTTTTGGCATATCCTGACTACACTCGACCTTTTATTTTGCGCGTGGATGCTTCTGACATTGGTCTTGAAGGTGTGTTGATGCAAGAGAGCTCGAGTGTGCCTGGTCAGCGCCATCCCATTGCATACATCAGCCGTACATTACAACCAACGGAGATGAACTACTCCACGACGGAGAAGGAGTGTTTAGCAGCAGTCTGGGGTTTCGAGAAACTTCATGCATATCTACATGGTTCTCGGACGTTACTTGAAGGTGACCATGCTACTGTTACTTCATTATTGAAGCGGAAGAACCTAGTTGGTCGTACGGCTTGATGGGCTTTGAAGCTTCAGATATATGATTTTGATGTTGTTCATCGCCCAGGGAGTTCTATGGCTGATGCTGATGCCCTTTTTCGAGCTCCTCTTCCTTCTCCACTCACTTCTCATGTTTCTAACGAACCTGTTGTTCCAGCGTCTGTGGATTTTCTAGATGAGGATTCTGTGCCGTCGGCGGTTGTTGTCCTTGACGTTCAGTGTCCACAGGGCGTAGAGCAAGATCTACCTTCTCTTGATGAGGTTCGCGAGGCTCAAAAGATTGAGCCGTGGATTCGAAGGCTTCGAGATGGGCTTGAGAATCCTGCATCACTTGCTGATGACTTGCCTTTCCGGCATTTACATTCTCAATATCGCCTTGAAGATGGCCTTCTTTATTTTGTGGGGACAGATCCTGATGATCATTTACGGTTGGTGGTGCCTTCGGTGTTTATTCCGCGGTTTCTCCATGCCTACCATGATTCTCCTGTTCTAGGTGGGCATATGGGACACCGTCGTGTCACTGAGAAGCTGCGCAGGTCTTTCTATTGGCCGGAGATGCAACATAATATTATCCGGTATGTGCGTACTTGCGTTTGGTGCCAAGCTCGTAATACTCTCCCTTGTGCTGCAGAAGGACGGTTGGAGTCAATTGCAGTTTCCCGTCCGTTTGAGTTAGTGGTGTTTGATCTTATGGGACCTTTTCCACGATCTACTGCTGGCAAGGAGTATGTTATTATTGCTTTTGACTACTTGACTCGTTGGGTGGAAGTTGGTGCTCTTGCTAGTGCCTCTGCAACTGCTGTTGGATACTTCCTCCTCAATTAAGTGGTGTTCCAACATTCTTGTCCATAGCGGATTCTTTCGGATAATGGTCCTGCATTTATGGCTGAGGTATTTCATGTTTTGACATCTCGGTTGGGGATACGCCACACTTTTACGAGTGCTTATCATCCACAATCAGACGGTCTGGTGGAACGGCTCGTTCGGACATTTAAAGGGATGATTGCGAAGTATGTGAACTTTCAGCATTCAGATGGGGATGGTTATTTGCCGTCTCTTCGGTATGCCTATGTCACAGGGGTGCAGAGTTCTGTTGGTGCTTCACCATATAAACTTCTATATGGTCATGATCCAATATTACCAACAGAGTTGGGTTTACCTTTGCGATTGCCACGAGCTCCTGATGCTAGGTCATGGGATCAATATTTGACAAGCATTCTTCCATTTGTCCGAGCAGAGTCTGCCGAACACTTAGGCCGCGTACAAGTGGGACAACAACGGCGCTATAACTCCTATCATCGTCCACCTGCAGAGTACAAAGTGGATGATTTGGTGTTAGTCCGTTTTCCCCATCTTACGGTACGTGGTTTATCTAAGGGGCTCCTTGCGCAGTGGAAAGGACCGTATCGGGTGTTGCGGCAAGCTGGACCGCAAGTTTATGAGGTTCGGCATGACGTTCAGCAGGCTGATCCTTCGGAGATTGTGCATGTGCAGCGGTTAAAACACTTCATACAAAGGGATCAGGAGCAGTTAATACCGTTTACAGATCCGCCGATGCCTCCTCCTGACGTTCCTCCAGATCTCGGCCCATCTACAAGAGAACCCTGACGGCTTCCATTATTCCGAGAGGAGGGGATGATGTGAGGGCCAAGTGTACAGCTACGATGCTATATACTAATATTAGCGTAGTGGATTTTGGTAGCCGTCGGATTGGTTTCAATCCGGACCACTCACTCCTGTATATAAGCTAGGGTTTTTGGGCTAATGGATATGCACATTTCTGTATTCCCTTTCCATATTCCATGCACTCACAAAGAGAATTATAAAATATATTAAAATAGATATACTTTTGTAAGTTTTGGGTTATCTCATAATTTTATTTGTAGTATATTCTTTTGAATGGCTATATGTATAATACAGATTTAATATTAATTTCTATTATTGTTATCCTTGATCCAACAAAGTTCAATATAATTAATCTTAGAGCCACAACAATATCCAGCAGTTGGGAGAATCGGGGCTAACAATTCCACCCAGTTGTATACTAATTTATGGTTAATCATATCCTTTATATCAAGCACACATATATTTAAAATTTATATATCTTGCAGGCTATTACAGTTTTTTGTCAGGCCTCCCAGACTATACCTTCTCCCAAAATTTCTTTAAAGCAAACTAGCAAAGATAGTAGAGAATATCTTTGTTGAGGACATCCTGTTGGTGGATATCCTATTCCCTACTACCTGGCATTGATGTGCTCCTCTCAGCTTATTGCTTACAACAGAGTTTTTGGAGAGAACTTTTCACACATGCAACTCTTGGGCAATGAATAATCTCAATAGTAACAACATAATACTTCTGGCCACTAGAGCTTATGCCATAAAGGCACTTCCTCTCCTCTGCTAATTGTAAAGTTCTAAATACTGCATATAGGATATTCCTTTATACTTAAAATTTATCAATTATTAAAATAAGAACTTTATAGTTTATAGCAAATTATATTATCAGTTTTATGCTATGAAAATAACTAATTCTATTGTATTGATAATATTTTAGATAAAAAACAATTTCAAAATCCTTATGCAATCGGGTATACCTTTTAAGGCTTAATACAGGCACTTCCTTTTCTCCCTATGGAACATAACGGAATTGCAAGTTGACTTAGTGTGAGACAAGGACGGAGCCACAGCAGCTGTAGATGGGTGATTCTGAGGAGTTCTTACACTTGAAAGACTGCTAGTAACAACAGCAGAAGGGCGATAATCCAATTTTCTGTTAGAGAACCACAAGGGAAAACAATCTTTCTGGCAAAAATCAACCTCGTTCTATAGAGTAACTGCTGTCGTGCCGGATGATTGATAGCTTCACATGGCAATGATTTAAAATAAGGGACATGCATTGGCTGGAAGTCCAAGCGAAGCTGATGGTGCAATACTTCACGAATATGGAGGAGTTAGTAGTATAATGAATAATAATCTCTCTGCAAACTCCTCGCAAAATCGAACAGTTTCAGAGCGTGCAAATCAAAACTATCACGACACTGAGTTACACTGAAAGAGGAAACCGTTGAATGGATTCGAACCGGCAACCAGATGAAACAAAAAATCTGTTCCGTTGATATTTCTATATTTGGCGCGAGACGCCCAGAAAAATATCTGGCGGAGTAATAAGCTGCCACGTGTGCAGATGCCATTGGCCACGGAAGCACGGAAACCAGCATTTGTGGGATTCATATGCCACGGAGAAAGATCTGTTGCTTGCTTCATGCAAATTATTCTTCTTCACTCCATCCATTCGTGGCCCCCTCCTCTTGAAAAGAGAGAAAAAAGCTTCCTTAGGTTGGAGCTCGGTAGAAGAACCATCTCTCTCTCTCTCTCTCTCTCTCTCTCTCCCTCTTTGTATTTCTTCTCTATCTCTTCCAGGGAGAAGATCGAGCGCGGAGCTATGGAAGAAGAGGATAGCAGCCACTCTTCCACCATCGAGGAGGAGCTCCACGACTCGGAGCCTCTGGCGGCGACTTCACGCATTCGCGACCAAAACACGGGAGACGTCGTGGACGCTGCCGAAGATGATGACGAAAGGAATGGCGATCGAGCCGAGCTGCCAGATGACAGTGTAAGTTCCCTTCCCTGTCCTGTCCCCTGGGACTGGCAATAACGCGGCGCCGATGCGATGGCAAACACTTCAAAACTCCAGGAGAGCGACTGGACGGACGAGAAGCACAGCATGTATCTCCAGTCCATGGAGGACGAGTTTGTGCGAAGCTTGTACGCGATGAAACGGCCCCAGCAAGCCGAGGCCCAGGTTTGGATCCCAAAAAAATTCCCTTCTCGCATTTGCCGCAAAGTTCTAAGCCAGGTCGTCGCTGAAGAATCTGGCAATGCGTCTGGTGACAAAGCTGCCGTGGAGCCGATGGACACGGGAGGAGACGAAGTCGTCGACCAGGTGATGTGAGATCTCTCGTCTTGTGTCTTTGCCGAGTGAGAGATGTAGAACCGGAGAAAAAAAAGGACTTTTTTTGCTTTCCCTGGCGCTGTGTCCTTCCATTTTCCAGTGCCACTGCCACTCACGATCCTCTGACAAGCTCACGTGATGATAATCTCCTGTGTCTTCCTCGAGTCCTTCTCATAGGATTCCTTTCCTGTTCCCATCTCCGAATAAATGCCAACCAAATTCATGGGAGTCTGAGCAGTGCTACCTCCTGTTTGTGCGCACACACAGCCGTCGGAAACCGATTATCAACCCGATTGCAATGCTCAAAGCCACCACCCCCCACGTCGCCTGTAACCATCGCCGATTCTGCCGCTCTAAGTGGGACTTGACGATGAAAAGCTCGTCCTCAATCTTTTGGAGCTTGACATTCAACTTCTCTAAATGCGTCCGCGATGCGTCCCCGGATATCTGCAACCCGTTGAGCTCCTTCAAAACAGACTGGACGAACCACATGTCCAGTCCTAACGGAGCCTCGCTGCTGGAGCCAACGTCCCTGTCTCTATCCGCTACGCTACCAGAACTACTCCCTGTCTCTGACCCCGAGACCGATCCCACGTCCTCAAAATCGTAGTACTCGTCCTCGTCTCCAAACTCCTGCCGCTGTGTCAACCCGAGCTCCTCCTCACAAAAGATTCGAGCTATGCGCATCCATCCCGTAAAAGATTTCCTTGCATGGGTCTCCATGTAACTCTCGACGGTTCCTGAGAAAATCACCAGTTAACAAAGACACCACCACGTAAACTAAAACCACCATACCCTGTACTCCCCACATTCCAGCTTTGCATTCCAATGATATCAACATGGTGACGCGGCAGCTTCGATCTGTATCACCAGGCGCCAGTATCACTTTACCAAACGTCCGAAAGCTGCTTCCACCAGGAGCGTCGAAAATCGGCTCAGACTTTATGATGACTGAATCTTCCAGCTTTGTATACTGCTGGATTTCTGTCACTTGCAGCTTGTCTGCGCCTGGAAGCACGGCGAAGCTCGTCAGTGTCACGAAAAACACATTGTGCTGATCGATTACCTAGAAGCATCTGTACTACTTTTGGTGCACTCACTGGAGCTGCAAACTTGACTTCCCGCCGCCCCTCCCTCGTCCAAGTGGACACTACCGCACCGGGATCTTTACTGATTTCTTTGTGATATCTCTTTTGGAACTTTTCGTCTCCATACAAGATGCCAAATGCCTTCTGCAATACAAAAGACAGAGAAAGAAATGCGTTTGGTAAAATGAAAGCGAGTTTCGTACCTGAAAGTCGACATGCTCGATGGTTCCAGACATCTCAACTTCTCTCACCATTTCACGAGATGTGAGAGCCGCTCTCCAAAGGACGCATTCTTCACGAATGACAAAACCATCTCAACCGTTGGTGCCCCCAGTTGACGTTCCATGAAGGAATTTCTTTCGAGCTTACGGACGGCTGAGATCACGATCACTTGAGGACATAGACCAGATCGCCTTCAACCAAACTCAAGGACGGCTCAGGATTGGTGGAAACGTAGCAAACGACGGATCCCTGCGTCCCCAGAGGCCTGTACAGTCCCAATGCGAGTATCCTTTCGTGCTCTAGCAAACCGAGGAACAGGTCCGAGAAAGTTTGTCCCTGGTAGTGTCTAGGAACAGCAATTTGTTCGAAGTGTCGGATTTCAGCACTCCCTTCGTCCAATTGGTCCATGGGACATCCAGATGACAGTTGCTCCACTATAGATATCACAGTGGAATTAAAAAACGTTGCGTATCTGGAAAATATTAACTGTCAGCAGCTCAGAAAACATAAATGGAACTCGAACTTACATAAGAAATGTTAATGCTCCAGGACTAAAGCCTTTCCCTTCGATGTAAGGAGGAGCAAACTGGAACCTTCCTGTGTGGTCTCGGTGGTACATGCCAGTGTGAAACAGACGGGCATCTATGTTGAACTTGGGCCGCAGAAACTGGATCTGGTTTTCTTGCTGCAGCTCGACAATAACACGACCTCTTGCAGGGCTAATTAAACGCTCCACGTTCGCTGCAATTCGGACGTTGTTTAAGTCGGCGATGTTGATGGACTGAGACATGGAGGCTGAGTCATCGGACTGAATAGATTCCTCCTGGAGCGTCTCTGTCAGAATGACCACTCGCTCTGCAACGTCAAAGCGTATGAAAAAAAAGAAAAGCCTGACAAAAAAACATATGCATATACAACGAAAGGTCTAGATTCTCAGTACCTGCTTGAAGGACACCAGCGCGAATAAGATCGAGCTCGTAGAGAGCCGTTCCTTGGACGAAATAAACGTCTGAGAAAAGGCCAACGCATCCCCATTGTGCGGCGGTCGGCTCGTTCGGATGAAGGATAACTACCGGCAAGTTGAGGACGTTGTTTATCCTCAAGTTGGAAACAAAGTAGAAGAGGTTGACGGGCCACATTCCTTCGATGCAAACAAGAATGTGTGGAGAAGGTAGCCTCACGACATTCATCGTGTTGCTCTGCAAGTGCGCCTGGATGATTTGAGCCCTCCTTGCTAGCACCGGAGGATCGGGCTTATCCAGCTTGAGAGGTGGCCACCTTGTTGCTGCCTCGATAGCATCTTCGAGACTAGTAACCGTTGTTTTCCTCGAAGACCATGCGGCCAAATTCTTCTTGAGACCTTCCCTCAAGCTACCAAACGTGTTATTCGTGCTCTTCCATTTCTCTTCGTTACGGCGAAACTCCTTCCACCTGTTTTTAACTTGCTGCAACACCATGTCGTCCATGGCGATCTTCAAGTCTTGAGAGAAGTCAAGATACGGACAAGCTTGGTGAACGGGTAACCCAAACTTAGAAACTTGCTCCGCTGCTGCAAGATCGCTGGCAATCACAAGCCCCACGTCACAGGGATCCAAGATGCGCCCCCGTGGATACAGCACCACTGTTCGGGACCCGTCTCCAATTTGCACATCCAGCCCAAAAAGAATCACTCTATACTTGAGGTACATCACTTCCACCACCTGAGCATATTACGATCAGAAAACCTTCAGAAACGAGGCAAACGATGCTAACCTCTTCAAACATTAGCTCCTGACGATGAAGACACGGTGGTAATATGACCGGGAAGACTTCATGCTGAAGGCCTCGATAGTACTGCACCATCCAATGCTCCTCTTTGGGACTTCTGATAAATAAGCCTGACCGAAACAGGTTGATGATGAACGTCGAAAACCCTTGGATATGGCAGCTGCATTTACATGGTAAAGTGACAGTTGAGACAGAAAACTTGACATATACCTTCTTGCAAGCAACTTAAAACGTATTGCTTCGGGACAAAGCACCTCAATACCCGATTCAAACTCGTCCCAGAGCGCACTTTTACAGTTCTCTGGTTTTAATAGTTCAACAATCACTCGAGCCATAGGACCACAGTGACGGTGAACAGATAACGAGCGCGTCATTTGAGCTGCGTCTTCCGCATCAAAATCCTGCAAATAAATATCCATGTTAGTGAGAATTTTGTTCAACTACAATTTACTTTGGCGTAATGATCTGCCAACAAAAAGAAAGCCGATGCAAGCTTTGCCCCAGCGCGAACCAGATCAGTTTCTTTCGTGGGAACACCTTCAATGAACTCAACGTTGTCTTTGTACACCGTAAGCAGCGTTTTTAACTCGAACCTGCAATAGAAAACATTGCAATTTCCAACAAGCAGTCAGGCAAAAGCAACATACGATGGCTTAAAAGGTGCCATAATAACAACACGTATAGGAAACGCCGTCATATCTGCAATCACGAAAGAGGATGGATGCCGTAAGCAACCTTGAAGAGCAGAAGGACCTTTGTCATGGCACGGATGGTAAAAGCCAGAGAGAAAATGTTCTACAGTATTAAATGAAACATTGCCACTCAATATTATAAACCGCGACCCAACAACTTTTTGCAACGCAAGTTTTCCGCCATACGGTCTTGCACCAGGAAAACATAAAGACATCTTAAAGCAGTGATAAGGAAAACATAGGTGCTCACCTGCGGGACGCAAGCTGGAGAATATTATTTATTTGCAAGGGCAGTATCAGGACTGCTGCCAAGATCACGGTGATTGCCACAAAGCGTCCCCAGTTAGACTTCGGACTGAAATCCCCGTATCCAACCGTCGTTATCTATAACAGCACAAAATAGAAAACGGAACTTGGAAAAATATAGAGCATACTCACCGTAACAATCAGAAAATAAAAAGCTTGATAGAAAGTAAAGCAGCCTGCTTCGTCACAGTTAGCTTCTCTTTTTACATTTGCTGGGGTATTCTTGTACTCAACCCACTGAAATATCCCAGCAGCTATGAAAACTGAAGCACGAAGACGAATCAAGATAAAGAACAAACGAGAGTTTGCGTACCAGTTCCTAGAGTGTACATTATAAGAAGAAATATCTGCTGAGCGATTGTACCACCAACTAGTCCCAAAGTAAGCAGGTAAGGTAGTATTCTGCCAGATGACGGTGCATTAAAATCGATATTATCCTTGACAGGAGTTGTCTTCAAAGCAAACCTTGCACCTTCGTGCACGTATTACCCGAAGCATTTGCGGAACTGCGCTGTAATTATCTGCGACGCTGTTGCCACCATTAAAAAAGGTTAAACAACATTGCGGCCTCAAAATTTTACATACCTCCAGATGTAAAATATAGGCAGCGAGCTTATCAAATCGATAATTCCGGCAGTAGAGAAAATGTAATAGAGACGAACAGGAGCACTGCAAAGAAAGACGACAAGCATAAGATGCTGCTTCAAGGAACGAACGAACTACCTAAAGATCCTCAGAACATAGTCGGCAGCAAAATACAAAGAGAAGACCCGCCTGAAGAACTGGGACCATCCTAGTGTCTCCTCCGTATACCTGAGGAGCAGACACAAATAGTTAAACACATTCCAAAACTTTCGCCGCACTTACGTTTGCCGTACGTAAGCAGTCACGGAAATCACAGCGGCGAAAAACTCTACCTGCAAAGAGCAGCTGCATGAACTACTAGCTTTCAAGCAAAAAAACCAAAATCACAGAGAATTCATTCTTCGAAGTTACCCAAATCGTGACGTGACTCCAAGTCCCACTCCTGATTGCGGTCCTAAGCTTGATACTTAGAGGCACATCTCCGTAAAGATAAGAGTTGTGAAATCTAGACAATACATCCTGTTCAAGAACGAAAAGGAACAGTTAGACAAACCAGCGTGAAGAAAAATCGATTGCTGGATTCTCTAGCGAAGCAGACAAAAAGGAATATAAAATCGAAGAGGAAAAACAAAGAAGTCATTCAAAAAAGTACCTTCTCTGCGTCGATGTTCTTGCCTTGTCCCTGGCTATTGAGCCACAAAAGTCCACGAAGATTTAGATCCTCAAACGTCTCTCTCAGCTTCCCAAAGAACGCGTTCTTTGTCACAGACATTTCCTCTTCCGTCTCTACTGGAGGACCACTCGCAGAATCCGCGACCAGATTCACGCATTGCCCCGTGTGAGTGATGACAAGCGTGCACGGGCGCGTGGAAGAGCTCTTGCGCCGCACATCGGAGCTGTCAAGAGCTGGGATCGTCACTTCCATGCTGCCGCTCGCGTCCTCGTCACTGGAAATAAATCATCCGGCGACCGATCGCACCGAAAGAGAGAGCTCACCTTACTCTGGGATCGCTCCGGAGGACCGGCGATTCCGATCGATCCGGCTGCATTGCTCACGCGCAACCCTAGCGCTTCTCTAGCCCTAGAAAAGTGGAGCCAACCACCATACCAACCAAAATATTTAAGTTACACCCAAATTCTAAGCATTCTTTTAAAGGTAGGGCAAGCTACCATACATAACCTTCCTTTAAATACAATACAAACATTACAAATACAATAAACGCTCGAATGAAACAAATCTACATTCGCGCTCCAAATCCTCGCGAAACGCTCCAAATCCAAATTCTCTACTCCAATCCTTGATAGACTCGATGCTCCAAACAAGATCTTCTACCAAAAGCTTCCTTCCATTCTTCGTTTCTTCGTGACCACCTGCAAGAACACAAGAAACCACCAGAAAGTTTCATATAAACGCCGCCCGAGAGGATCTTATTTATTGCACAAAATGAAGAGCTAGAAACCTCTCTCCCAGAGAAAAAAGAAAGAAAACGAAGCAACGAGACATAGCTTTACTCTCCCCCTCTAGAACTCACACACCCACACTCTCTAGACAAAACAGTAGAAAACGAAAAAATCCAATCACCCTCTCTCGCTCGCGCGCTCGGAGCTGGCCTAGGATGTTAAAATGCATTCGTGATGGCAGCCAAGTACCTGAGAGACTGGAGGAACTGCGAGCTCGGCGGCGGCCTTCTTGAGTCGAAAGTGTTGCGCGAGCTCTCGGAGATGATCCGGCTTGTCGGCCGTGAGCGACTGCACAACCTGCGTGAGTAGCAGCCTGTCGTCCTCGAGCACCTGCAATCTCGACGTTAGCTCTCGGATGTCGTTTTCCATGGCCAATCGGAAGTTGTCTCTCATGACCATGGAGGTGGTTCGAAGATCAAGGTCGGAGTTGCCGTTGCTCAAAGCTTCTTCCACTTGATCGCTACGTTTTCCTCGATCGAGATCGATATCACCACCCGCTGTTGGATCGCCACCATAATCACCACCCGGACTTGCAGCGCTTGCGTTGCGTTGAAAGCCCAGCTCTTCCGCTCCATTCCCTGTGGCTTCGTCGCCGGATACACTCCCGGAGTGATGCGAGCTCGCCCGATCGAAGTCCTCGAGAAGATTGGTCCCTTGCCAACGTGAAAGCTCGGCTGGTTTTCTCTGGCCCGCACCGAAACCACCACCACCACCACCTTCGAGGAGCAGCCTCGATGGAAGCCAGTCGTCGACGTCGTCGCCATCTCTCGCGGGCAGTAGCCGCTTTCGATAAGACTCCACCTCCTTCTCCAGCACGAACTTTTCCTGTTCTCGCTTGAAGAGTATCTCCTTGAGAAGAGTGATAGCCTCCTGGTCGTACTCCGCTTTCTCCTCAACCATCCTCTGGTACTGACGAGCTTCCATCTGAACCGCTGCCTTTTCCTCCTGGAGCCGAGTGATCATCGCCATGGCCTCGTTGGCCGCTATGGCCGACGCATTCCTTTCCTCCTCGAGCTCCACATAAAGTGAGTTCAGAGCGTCTTTCTCCGCTTGGAACGCTGCCTTGACGCTCTCGACGGAGAGATCCGAGGTAGCATCGCCCCTATCTTTCTCCTCCTCGGAAGATTTCACGCCGGACGATACCTGATCATGCGGAAGCTCCTCCACGAATATCTTCGCAAACTTTCGCTTCACACAACGATCTCCTGTAGCTCCAACTCTAGGCGACGGCACCTCCGGATTTTTCTTGTCGTCCACGGCCACGCTCGTCACCTTGTGCGCGATCGCTTCGGTCCCAAATCCGTCATCACCCAGCTCGTCCTCTTCATTATCATGATGATCGTCGCCCCTTCCATCGTGAAGTTCCCTCACGCGCGGCTCCTGGAAGAGCGGGAGAACTCGCGCGTTCTGCTCGATTCGCGCCGCCGTCAGCTCTCGCAAGCACTCGCCACACGAGTCATGCAGCTGGAGATTGAGCAGCGCCAGCCTCCTGTGCTGCTCGCACAGCACCGATCGCTCGTGCTGGAGCCCTAGATACGTACATGGATACGGCAGGTCGAAGATCTTGATGAGCTTGGAGGCGAGGAGCGAGACACCGGCCGTGAGGAGCACGAGACAGGCGATGAAGAGCTCCAAGAACCCGGCGACGATGGCGCCCCAGTAATCCCTACCATCTAGATCAGCACCAGCGCGTCCAGGAGGAGCCATAGCGGAGAGGCGGCGATCAGCGTCATCGTCAGCAGCATCGCTGCCGCATCATGGAAGAATCAAGAATAGGGCCATGCCTTGCCTCGAAAACCCTCGGAAAGAAAATTCGATCTTGGCCGCTGCCGCCGCCAAGAAAGAATCCCGATCGATTGATCGATGGATCGCCGCCTTGGATTACTAACCCTGATCGATGCCGGAGGAGGACACCGGGCGCCAAGAACAAGAAGGATAGCCCTACGAAATAAAGAAGAGGAAAAACCCTAGAAGACGCATTGTTTCATCCGCGCGTCTCCATCATCATCACAGCACACAGACTCCCGCCTGCTGTGCTGCTACCGTGTGTGACATGGCACCTACCTGGCATCCTTTTTACGCCACCTGTCCTTGACGTGTCGCCACCTCACCGCTGCCCTACAAAAGCCCTAATTCTAGGGTTTAGGGTTCTTTTTGCGATGAAGAAAGTGCGCGACGATCTCTATTTGGGCGACATTGGCGACGCGCTTCTTTTTCTATCGGGCACGAAAGCTGGAGTGACGCATGTACTATCGGTGCTGCCGCTGTGCCCTAACCACGAGAGCAAGGATTTCGTCCCCTACGGCCCGCTCAGTGACGCGAACGCGTTTTTTAGGGTTTCCGTGGAGCTCCAGAACAAGTGTGACTTCTCCGGGCTTCCAATTCGGAAGGTTGTGCCTCTGGAAGACTCGGCGGACGAGAATTTGCTCGAGCGCCTCGAGGAGTGCTTGGAATTCATCGATCGAGGAGTGAAAGAGGGGATTGTGCTCGTCCATTGCGGTGGCGGATTTTCCCGCAGGTAGGCATTCACGTAGTTTGGACTTCAAGTTTTTGGGGATTTACCTTTGGGCATTTGCAGTCCATCGATTATGATTGCGTATCTTATGTGGAAGGAGAAGCTGTCCTTTGCAGGTATTGATCTTGGTGTTTCTAAAAATCCCAAGCTCACCTCTCGATTTTAACCAGATGCCTTGGCTTCTCTCAAAAAATCAAGTCCAAGTGTGGATCCAAATCCCGGGTTTGTAACACAGGTAATTCATTGTTTCTTTGGCTATTTATTTATTTATCTTTTGTTTTCCAGCTGAAAGCATTCGAGACTAATGGTTTCAAGGTACCTAAGAAAACAATCAACAAAAAGGAAAATGGTAAGTACTATGTTATTATGAAGCTTCTTTGATCTACATTTCATTTCAGGCAAAGGCACAGCCAAAGGCAAATGGGTGACATGCAAGATATGTAAAAAGGTGGTATCCATTCAAGAATTTCAAAGATAAAGATTGCAAAGCTTCGCTTTAACTATTTAGGGAGTTTTGTAAAGGTACCAAAATCCAAATAATAGATAAACTATTTAGGGCTCTTTAGTGGCCTTTTTTAAGGGCTAATTTAGGGTTCTTAGATCACGGCGAAGAGCGGCAGCATCGCTGCGTTGGTAGCGCAATTGAGGTCGTGCGGCGGCTCCAGGGATCTAGAATCAGGGCGGCGGATCCATGCCGACGCGATCCAGAGCGGCGGCTGCTCCAATCCCTACATCCGGACGTCGCTCATCAGCATGTACGCCAAATGCGGGAGCATGGCCGAGGCTCGCGATGTCTTCGATCGAATCCCCCATCCGGGAATCGTCGCCTGGAACGCACTCGTCTTGGGGTACGCTCAAAATCACCAGGAAGAGGTCGCGCTCGAAATCTTCTCGGCCATGGCGTCCCGCGATTCCCACAGCTTCGTGGCTGCGCTCCAGGCGTGCTCTAATCTAGCCGCCAGGGAGGTGGGAGCGTTCGTTTCCGCGCCAGAGCTCGTCGTCAAGTGGAAATCTCTGGAGAGGGCCATGGATTTACACTCTAGAGCTCGAGCTCATGGGAGTTTCGGCTCTGCCACAGCAGATTTGTTCGTCGCCAATGCTTTGATCGACGTCTACGCGAAATGTGGAAGCGTGAGAGACGCCCAGGCAGTGTTTGACGCCATGGCTCATCGCGACGTGGTGTCTTGGACGGCTCTCATGCTGGGCTACGTCCAAGATGGCGATGGCGATTTTGCTCTGGAGCTCTTCCAGCGTATGAGACGAGATCGCTGCCGGCCCAATGCTCTCACGTTTGCCGCTGCTGTTAAGGCCTGCTCGATCATCGCTGCGAAGAATATCGATCAAGCTCTGGAGATGGGGGAGGTTCTTCGTACTCAAGCTTCCGAGGCCGGGTTTTCCTCGGAGCTTTTGGTGGCGAATACTTTGATCGATATGTACGTCAAGTGTGGATACTTGCGAGGAGCTCGTGAAGTTTTCCACCGGATCGAGCATCCGGACGTGGTTTCCTGGAACACTTTGCTGCTGGGATACGTGGAAAACGGAGAGATCGAGCAGGCTTTACGGCTTTTTGAGCTCATGAAGTCCACAAACGTAGCTCCAGACGCTCGAACGTTTGCTGCCGTCCTCAAAGCCTGTGCGATAGTCCCGCGCTTAGAAACTGGGCGAGAAGTCCATCGGGAGATTTGCCGGCGTGGGCTGGAGAGCAAGAACGAGGTGCTGCAAAGCGGCCTGGTGGATTTCTATGGAAAGTGTGGCAGCATGGTGGACGCCGAGCAGCTCTTCTACTCGATCGCAAGCACGGATCCAGTGACTTGGACCGCGTTGATAGCAGGATACAGCAGGCAGGGAGATCACAGAGGCAAAGTTTTCGAGTTTTTCCACAAGATGGTCGACGAGAAAGTCCCGGCAAGCGGCCCTGTGCTGCTGTGCGTGCTCTCGGCGTGCAGCCACGCGGGGCTCGTCGACACCGGCACCAAGTTCTTCCGGGAGATGAGCTCCAGGTTTGGAGTGATCCCCCGGATCGAGCACTACCACTGTGTGATCGACCTCCTGGGCCGCGCGAACCGACTGGACGAGGCGCTGGATCTCATTCGCGGCATGCCTTTCGAGCCGAGGTCCGTGACTTGGAAAACGCTGCTGGCGGCGTGTGAGAAGTGGGAGAACGTGGATTTGGCGAGGCTCGCGTTTGGTTCGTCTCTGGGAGAATCGGAGAATGGTGGCGGGCTTGAAATGGAGAAAGGCTGCGGGAATTACGTGCTCATGTCAAATATCTGTAGAAGCGGCTAGATGAGCGAAGAAAAAAATGCTCTTCTACAAAGAAGAGGTCCTTTTCGAGCCGAAAACGGACAGGAATGATGACGTGGGGTTGTAGATAAGGCTATGACGAAAGGGAATTCGGGGGGAAAACACTTATGACATGAGGGAAAGTTTGACTTGCTGGTAGCGTCTATCGGTCTTGTGTCGCGACTAAGTCTCTCGCTGACGCTTTCAAACATCTCTCTTTAGCAATTTCATTGCGATACGACAATCTCTTTAGCAATTCCATTGCGATACGACAATGAGCTTGACGAGACGATAAAAAAGAGAGCTTGCAAAACCACCTGGAAGTCAAGAGAGAAAAGCTAGAGAAGAGAAATCTCTTGCCATGGCGGTGAAGTTCTTGGTGCTTGTAATCGCTAGTGTTCTTGGCTTGTCCGGAGTTCTTGGAGCCGATCCCGATCCACTCCAGGATTTCTGCGTTGCTGTCAAGGACAACAAGATCAACATCTCACCACCAAAGTCGAAGAAAGACGATGATAAGTATGATCACGATAAGGATCAGGAATCTCCATACAAGGTCGAGATGTCTACCACGAATTCCTCTGGTAAGCTAGAACCTCCTTGCAAGTTTTCAATGATCTTAGATCCAAAACATTGATGATTGTAGATATCTCGGTGGTGGTCAACGTGAATGGAGCGATCTGCAAGAACCCAGCCATGGTCACGGGCGACGACTTCCTCTTCAAGAACCTGGTGAATCTGGGCGATGCAAACAACATGGTCGGATCGATCGTCACCGCCGCCAACATCGGTATGTTCTTGGGCCTCAACACCCTCGGGATCTCCTTCGCACGCATCGACTTCAAGAAGGGTGGCGTGAATCCCCCACACACTCACCCGCGCGCCACCGAGATCCTGCTCGTCATCGACGGCTCGCTCAAGGTGGGATTCGTCGCCACAAACAACAAGCTCTTCACTGCGACCGTAAACAAGAACGAGATCTTCGTCTTCCCCCGCGGCCTCGTCCACTTCCAGGAGAACGTCGGCTACGGCACCGCGCTCGCATTCGCAGCGCTGAGCAGCCAGAACCCAGGCACCCAGCAGATCGCCCCGTCGCTCTTCGGTGCCGATCCGCCCATCTCCGACTCGGTCCTCGCCAAAGCCTTCGGCCTCAAGCCCGAGGCGGTGGACGCGCTCCAGGTGACGTTCTCCAAGGACAAGGAATCGTCATGGTCCACCGAGAAGTAGAAGAGCCCTAATTTTCAAATACCGGAGATTATTCCCGTATATACCTGCCATAAGCGTCAGAGATTATTCCAGAATATGCTCCTCTTTCTTTTTCCAAGGGATATGCATGACGGTAGAGTTTTCGGACACTGGGACACCTGTCGTGACCCCATAGGGAGCGCGGTGTCGACATCTCATTGGCTCACGCTTGCTGGGTGGGTCACTAGTTAATCTCGCGCCACACGTCTGGCAGCCCCACATGGATGCCGACACGTGGGGGAGAGCGATGCGCGGGTTTGCGTTGCGTGTGGGCCTGCCACGTGGTGTGCTGGCGCCGTTATGTTATTATGTGATCCTCTTGTCCCCTCGAGGGGACAAGAGCTTCGAAGTTCCAGATTAAATTTATTCTAGCTGGATTTGGCTGTGCTAGGCGAGCTAGGAAAATTTCTTCTCTCTAGCGATCGATCGATCGATCGATGGATGGAGCTATTCGGAGCTTTGGAATTTTCGGATCGATCGCCCAGGTTCTCCATATCGATGCGAGACACTTGTACAGTGGAATGGAAGCTTAGAACAATGCTTTTAAACAAGAGAGAGCCAAGCGATCTAATAAGGAGCAACAGTGGGGCTTTGTAGATCGCCAAGTACACGCAAGAGGACAATGGACGGATCAGATTGCGGGGACCGCCCCGGGCCTCGTTTGTCCTCTCGGAAACTTTTCTTCCTTTCCGTACCTCCGTTCTTACCAAATGCGAGAGAGAGAGAGAGAGCGAGCGATGGATCAAAGGTTCTTCCGTACAAGCGTCGTCGTTACCAGGGTCCCGTGAGCGTCCTCTTGAGCATCTTTGGGAGGTGTTGGGTCATTGGAGTGATCACTTCCAAGGCCTGCTGCTAGCAAAAGAGGTGTAGATCAGTGGCGGGACGATCGATTGTTCGATCTACAAGCACTCGAGCTCGAGAGAGGAGGAGAGCCAGCAGAACACGTAACCGAGAAAAATGAGAGGAACAAAGAAAAAGGAGAAAAGGAGAGAGAGAACAAGAGAATCACGCTACCTGTTTCTTTCGCTTGATGTTCTCCTCCTCCTGGAAAGCAGAAAAGCAAAACCGTTTGGGAAGTTTAGATTAGAAAGCCCACGAAACGAAACGATCGATTCGTGAAGCGATCCATCAGAGAAATCACGTAAGAAAAACTCGTTTCTTACCTGCATTTTCCGGAGTTTCATGTTCTCTTCCTTGAGTTGTGTCACCTCGGCCTCCAACTCGACTGTATAAGCCTGGAGACAACGAACTCGCGTAAACAAAGAGCGACAAAAAACCAGCCTTTTTGATTGAAAGATCACGGACCTGTTTCCTCGCTCGCGATCGCGCCGCCGATTCCCGGTTCTTGATCATCCTCCGCTGCCTCCGCTCCACAATCTTCTCCAGCGGCGCGTCCAGGATCCTCTTGCGCCCTCGGAGAGGGCCATCGAATCCGCCACCATAGTTGGAAAGCCCGCCATAGCCCCCGTTTTGGTCCAGCGCGTCCGATAGCGGGCTCCCGGGCGACGTCTCCTTGATGCACACCACACCGCCGGCGGTACCGCCGTTGAGTCCCATGCCCAGCCCCGTCGATACCGCCGCGTTGCCATTGTATGCCGCCAGCTGCATGAGCTGCTGCTGCTGCTGCTGCGCCAGCGCCGTGGAATTCTTGTACTGGCTCTCGATCCACTCCGCCTGATGCTTGGCCGCCTGTGCCGCGGCGCTGGACGCCGCATAAAATCCATTCGGGGAGGAGAGATTGTTCCTCGCCGGCCCAAGCCCAATTCCCAGCATTGGATCGTTCACCTCCACCGGTTCCTTCTTGCCGGGCAGTAGGCCCGTCATACCGCCCAGTATCGGCGTCCCGCCGCCCGGTACCGCCGCGGCGTCCCGCGTCACCTTTCCGTACGAGCCGTTTGCCGTCGCGGTACTGGTGGTCGGGTAGTAGCCGGCCTGCGCGTGCTCGATGGCGTCGGGCGCCATGACGCCGGCCTTGACGAGGAAGTCCTCGAGCGTCATCTCGCCGTAAGTCCCTTGCCGCGGCTTCATGGGCGGTACCGCCGCGTCGCCGGCGGTACCGTAGCCGTCCAGGGGCCCGATGTCCTTCCATACCTCGTCCACCGTCTTGGCGCTGAGCGATTGCGGGAGGGGGAGGAGAGTGAGGGAATTCTGGCGCTGGATGCCCAGGCTGGGCTGCCGGGAGAGGAGAGAGGGATCCTCAGCGGCGACGGCGACGCCCGCGGAAGAGGAGGAGGGATCGTTCGAGCTAAACAATGCGGCGGCCATGGCCTGGCTCTCCTCGGCTGTCCAGATGTTCTTGAGGAGCTCGTCCATGTTCATGGAGCCAAAGTTCTTGCCGGGCTCGCCCAGGCTGCTCTGGAATTCGTCCAACGTCAGGGAATAGATCGATTGCTGCCGCGGGAGAACCATGCTTCCCAATCGCCCTCCCAGTAGCGAATTGGATCGACCCAAGACACCGTTGGCCGCTCCAAATTGCTGGGGAAGAGACCCACCACCGCCGGATGCCGCCATAGCGAGCGCTATCTACAGAGCTTATCCTTCGCGCACAACCAAGTCTCTAATCTAATTCCACTTCTACTCGCCAATTCCTTCCCTATCCTCTTCCCGAATCCATCCCTGGTAGCTTTAGCCTGACAATTACAAGCCCTGACATTAAATTCTCGGGAAGATCGGCGTGAATTTCCCGGAAGAGATTCCACTGTAGAAGCGGCCTCGCAGTGCACTCGCTCGTCTCGCAGCCCTTTGGCCACACTTGGCAAAAGCGCTGCCTCTTTTGTTCCTCCTTGTCTTTTTAACCGCGAAGATCTCGCGTAAACCAAATTAGACTTACCACGAAAACCAGGGAGGAGATTAGGCAGCGCATCCCTTCAAGATTTTCAGGGATGAATCGACCGAATCGATCGCTTCTCTAAGCTCTAGCTATGGCGGATGAGCAAAGTCTACTTAAGTGGGCAGGCTCGGTGCCAGGCCTCCAGCTTCGGCAGCTAGGTCCGGTAATTTTACCCGGATAACTAGACAAGTTACGCGCAATCTAAGCCTGCCACGTGCAAGATCGCAACTGTAACCAGAGATATGTCTCACTGGAAACTGTGGTTTTACTTTGTCCGGAGGCAGCGTTACACGTGGCGGTACATGGTTTGATGCCCACAACTGGAAGAGATATTCCTTGTAGATGAGAAAATAAAATTTCCTTGGTTTTGGGCCAACCCGGCCAGTTCCACTGAAACCTCCCATTTGTAGTCTATTTGTTTTCTACCTTGTCCTTGAAAGATTGGTTCATATGGCTAAGGCACGGTGTCATTGCGAGATCTAAGATCCTTGCTTACAGTTTTTTGCTTTTGACTTTGCTCTACCAAACCAGCCACCAGGATTTTAGTAAAATCGCCTGAAAGGAGTGGGATGCACGGCAGCTGGAGGGGCCGAAAAGGTGCAAATGAGTCGGAGGAGGGATAGCGAGAAAGAACGGGAGATCTTTGTGTAGGAGAGAGGGATGAGAAAATGGATGACAAGTGTTTGGGAAAGGACTTGAGTAAGCCATAGCGACGGAGACAGGTTTGTTTGCTTGCAATTTTCACGACAAAAGAGGGTGTTTAAAGCTTGCTTACAGAGTAGAACTATTGCATTCCTACCATATTCTTTAAGTGGTTTTGCACTTGGTAATCACAAGAGATAGCTTCGGGCCCTGGCCAGACCTATCAAGTATGTTTGCATCAGGTGTCCGAATTTGGAATCAATGGAAGAATTTGGTGTTATATGTTCATTAATTATAATTCTATAACAGAACATTCATATATACATTAGTTTTATCTTCACAACCTCATAATTGTCCTATATAATCATCCATTTGTTGAGTATAAAGTGGATGATCTAATGTTAATTTGTTTTCCTAATCTTATAATATGTGGTTTGTCTAAAAGACTCTTTACTTAGTATGTCATGTATTATAGCAAGTTGGATTGTAAGTTTATAAACTTTGGCATAATATATAACATATTGATCCTTAAAAAATTATGCATGTGTAAAATTGAAGTGCTTCATATAAAGAAATTAAGAATAAATTGTATCACTTACAGATCTATTAGTGTCTTTTTCTTATATTCCTCAAGATCCCAACCCATCAACATGAGAACTTTCCTTCTGAGAGGAAGTGATGATGTGAAGCTTGGGCATACAATTACGATGTTGTATACTATTATTAATATAATAGGATTTTGATAATTGTCAGATTGATTACAATTCAACCTATAAGGCTTTTTGGCTAATCATATATATATATATATATATATATATATATATATATATATATATATATATATATATATATATATATATATATATTTGTTGATTTGCTTAAGAAAACTAGAGATATACCTAAAAGATGCTTGGATATTCTAGGATATTCTACCATTTCATTTAGATTAATCTTGTATTTATAATTTCTAAATATGTTTATAATTTATAAAATTTCCTAAACACTTCTTAGTATATTCTAGTTTATTCTACCATCAAATGGTTGATATTTAATAAGATTAATCTTGTAAACATGTTTATATAATTATAAACTTCCATTTAATCAATTAGATTAATAAATAAGAATAACACTATTATTAAGCAAACCAAGCATTATTGCATGCAATACACAGTAAATTATTTTGTATTATATTAGGCATTCACATTAAACTAATATGAAAAGACTAATATATCTTAAATGATATTAACTAGGTATTACCTAGCATATGCTTCCCAGTTACAAAACACTGTTTTAATTGTTATAGTTTTGTTACATTGAAAGAAAAATTGGAACAGAATTAAAAAAAACAAATATTGTACTTTGAAAGAAAAATTGAAGATATATTTCTTCAAAAAAAACTATTAAATTCCTTAGAGAATAGCAAGTGTCCATGAGTGTCAATGTTGATCAACATATTGCATGTGACACATCATAACACCTTCTTCTCTCACTCTAGGCAATTAGCAACTTTCCATTTGTTAATAGCAAATTGTAAGCAACTAAAGGGAACAACTTGAGAGACAATCCATAGGAGTTCAAATATAGAGGGAAAAGGCCCATGAACAAAAATGCAC